GAAATACAGATTAAAAGATGGCCCACTGTGGGCAAGCCAGAAACGCTTCAACTCCCTTGGTTTAATGTAGAGGAAGGCATCCAAAGGCTTAGGGAGATTGGGATGGTGGAGCGGGTTATTCGCTTTAGATCTACTCACCCCAGCTTGGAGGGCCCAGAAGATACACCCTTCACCAGTGATTTGCAAAGCAGCACCTGCATCTTTGAAGAGCCCTGTAATTGCTCTTCTCTGTATGTTAGATCTAGCAGAGGGAAGCAAAGCCACTCATCTACAAAAATTTAAATACAATGAAAATAACTGGATTCCAAGGTGGCAGGGGCCAAGTGGCAGCACTCAACCAACAAAGGCAAGGTGGGTATAGCTACCATAATGGACAGCAGAGGCAAAGCAGCAATCAGAATAGTCTGACTCATGTAGAGTTCTGGCACTGGCTAACTAATCACAGTGTTCCCAGAAGTGAAACTGATAGGAAGCCTACTGCATTCCTACTTAATTTATGTAAGCAGAAAACTTCCAGGTCAAATGGACAAAAAACTAATTTGAATTACAAAAGCAGAGAATCATGGCCCCTCAATCAATTTCCAGACTTGGGCCAGTTTATAGACCCAGAACCCCTTGAATGAAGGGGAGGTCAGGTCCCCTGAGGAAGGACCCCACTATACTACTGACACTTTGTGCTGTTAATCTTTCTCCCATCCTTCCCCAAGACCTCTGGCTTTCTACCAGGGCAACTGTGCACTGGGGAAAGGGAAATGATCAGACATTTCAGGGACTACTGGACACTGGGATTGAGCTGATGTTGATTCCAGGTGGTCCTCAAATTAAAGTAGGGGCTTATGGAGGTCAGGAGTTTTAGCTCAGGTCCGACTTACAGTGGGTCCAGTGGGTCCCCAGACTCCAACTGTGGTCATTTCCCCAGTGCCAGAATGCATATTTGGCATAGACAAACCTAGCAGCCGGCAGAACCCCCACACTGGCTCGGACTGGTAGGGTGAGGGCAACTATGGTAGGAAAGTCCAAATGGAAGCCATTAGAGCTGCCTCTAGAAAAACAGTAAATCAAAACCACTATCACATGCCTGGAGGAAATGCGATTAGTGCCACCATCAAAGACTTTAAAGACGCAGGGATGGTGACTCTTACCACATCCCCATTCAACTCTCCCATTCGGCCTGTGCAGAAGACAGATGGATCTTGGAGAATGACAGGGGATCGTTGTAGCTTAACCTAGTGATGATTCCAACCGCAGCTGCTGTCCCAGATGTGGCTTCACTGCTTGAGCAAACCACCATGTCTCCTGGTACCTGGTGTGCAGCCGCTGACTTGGCAAGTGCCTTTTTCTACATTCCTGTCCCACCAGAAGCAGTATGCCCTCAGCTGGCAAGGCCAGCAATATACCTATACCGTCCTACCTCAGGGGCATATCAACCTCCATCCTTGTGTCATAATCTTAGTCAGAGATAACTTGATTGCTTTTTGCTTCCACAAGATATCACACTGGTTCATTACATTAATGACATTAAGCTGACTGGATTCAGTGAGCAAGAAGTAGCAAACACACTGGACTACTCGTCAGACATTTGCGTGCCAGGGGATGGGAAATAAATCTAACTAAAAATCAAGGACCTTAGCTGGGCATGGTGACGCGTGCCTGTAATCCCAGCTACTCAGGAGGCTGAGGCGGGAGAATTGCCTGAACCCAGGAGGCGGAGGTTGCGGTGAGCCGAGATCGCGCCATTGCACTCCAGCCTGGGTAACAAGAGTGAAACTCCGTCTAAAAAAAAAAAAAAAAAAAAAAAAAAAAAAAAAAAAAAATCAAGGACCTTCTACCTCAGCACAATTTCTAAGGGTTCAATGGTGTGTGGCCTGCTGAGATATGCCTTCCAAGGTGAAGAACAAATTGCTGCATTTGGTCCTTTCTATAATCAAGAAAGAGGCGAAACATCTAGTGGCCCTATTTGGATTTTGGAGGCAATACATTCCTCATTTGGGTATGTTACTCTGGCACATTTATCGAGAGATCTGAAAGGCTGCCAGTTTTCAGTAGGGTCCAGCACAGGAGAAGGTTCTGTGACAGGTCCAGGCTGCTGTGCAAGCTGCTCTGCCACTTGGGCCAAACAACCCAGCAGATCCAATGGTGCTTGGGGTATCAGTGGCAGGTAGGGATGCTGTTTGGAGCCTTTGGCAGGCCCACAGGCGAATCACAGCAGAGGCCTCCAGGATTCTGGAGCAAGGCCCTGCCAGCTTCTGCAGATAACTACTCTCCGTTTGAGAGACAGCTCTTGGCCTGTTACAATATGGGTCATCAAGTCACCATGTGACCTGAACTGCCTATCATGAGTTGGGTGCTTTCTAGCCCAGCTAGCCATAAAGTGGGTCATGCACAGCAGCATTCCATCAACAGATGAAAGTGGTGTTATATGTGACTGAGCTTGAGCAGGTCCTAAAGGCACAAGTTACATGAGGCACTGGCTCAAATGCCCATGGACTACATTCCTGCCACCCTGCCTTCCCTCCCCGAGCCTGCACCAATGATCAGTTGGGGGGTTCCTATGATCAATTGACAGGGAAAGAAAAGACGAGGGCATGGTTCACAGATGGTTCTGCATTATATGCAGGCACCATCTCAAAGTGGACAGCTGCAGCACTTCAGCCCCTTTCTAGGACATCCCTGAAGGGCAGCGCTGAAGGGAAATCTTCCCAGTGGGCAGAACTTCAAGCAGTGCACCCGACTGGTGTACTTTGCACAGAAGGAGAAATGGTCAGATGTGCGATTATATACTGTTTCATGGGCTGTGGCCAATGATTTGGCTGGATGGTAAGGGACCTGGAAGAAGCATGATTGGAAAGTTGGTGACAAAGAAATCTGGGAAGAGGGACGTGGATGGACCTCTCTGGGTGGCCAAAAACTGTGAGGATATTTGTATTTCCTTTGAGTGCTCAGCAACAGATGGCCTCAGGAGAGGAGGATTTTAATAATTAAGTGGATAGGATGACCCATTCTGTGGACACCACTCAGCCTCTTTCTCCAGCCACCCTGGTCATTACCCAATGGGCCCATGAACAAAATGGCCACAGTGGCCGGGACTGAGATTATGAAGGGGCTCAGCAACATGGACTTCCACTCACCAAGGTTGACCTGGCTGTGGCCACTGCTGAGTGCCCAATCTGCCAGCAACGGGGACCAGCCCCTCAATAGGGCACCATTCCTCAGGGTGATTAGCCAGCTACCTGGCAGCAGGCCGATTACACTGGACCTCCTCCATCACAGAAACGGCAGAAGTCTGTCCTCACTAGAACAGATACTTACTCTGGATATGGGTTTGCCTATCCTGCCCACAATGCTTCTGCCAAGACTACCATTCGTGGACTCATAGAATGCCTTAGCCACCATCGGTATTCCACATAGTATTGTCTCTAACCAAGGCACTCACTTTATGGCTAAGGAAGTGCAGCAGTGGGCTCATGCTCACAGAATTCACTGGATGGAATGGTGGAATGGCCTTTTGAAGTCACAATTACAACATCAACTAGTTGACAATACTTTGCAGGGCTGGGGCAAAGTTCTCCAGTAGGCCATGTATGCTCTCAGTTAGCATCCAATATATGGTGCTGTTTTCCCATAGCCAGGATTCATGCCCTGTGATTAAGGTCAATGGCAAATCACAACAGCTGAATTCCGGCAAGACTAAAAATGGTCCAGACTCTTCAGCAATGAAGGTCTGGGTCACTCTACCAGGAAAAAACAAAACACAACCTGCTGAGGTGCTTGCTGACAGTAAAGTGAATACAGAATGGGTAAGAGAAGAAGGTAGTCATCAATACCAATTACGACCACATGGCCAGTTGCAGAAATGAGGACTACAATTGCCGTATTTCCTCCTTCTTTTGTTAAAAACATGCTTGTGATGTATACACTTGTACTAAGAAAGTATCTGCATTTTATTTCATTTATCATGCAATATAAGATTTATTGACTTCATATAAGCATGTAAGTATTGTTACCTTTATGTAACAGCACTTAGGTTGAAGATTGGTGTGTTTCCAGTTGTATGAAGAATAGCTGTATTACATTAGGCATAATTATGACCTTATTATTGTCTTTATTTGAAGATTATGTATGATCTCAGGAGATGTGTATGGGTTCAAGTTGACAAGGTATGGACTTGATGGTTAACATCGTGTCAACTTGATTGGACTAAAGGATGCAATGTATCGATCCTGGGTGTGTTGGTTGCCAAAGGAGATTAACATTTGAGTCAATAGGCTGGAAAGGCAGATCCACCTTTAATCTGGGTGGGCACCATCTAATCAGCTGCCAGCACAGTCAGAATATAAACATGAAAAACATGAAAGGACTAGACCGGCTTAGCCTACCAGCCTACATCTTTCTTCCACGCTGGATGCTTCCTGCCCTCCATCATCGGACTCCAAGTTCTTCAGCTCTGGGACTCGGACTGGCTTTCTTGCTCCTCAGCTTGCAGACAACCTACGCGGGACCTTGTGATCATGTGAGTTAATACTACTCAATAAACTTCCTTTTTTATATATGTCTATTCGTTCTGTCCCTCTAGAGAACCCTGACTAATACACGTGGTCTCTCTTGTCTTCAACTCACTAAGGCAGAAAAAGCCATAGAGAATAGACAGTGACATGAGCAGACCCAGACAGAGAAGCCAGGACACCATTATGGTGGTTGTCCGTTCCTACACCAGCCCCTCATGAAGCACAGCTGAAAATTATACCTCTGGGTTCTGCAAAACACCCCACTTCCTTCTACCACCTTCTTCTCCTTTGGCTGGGAGCCAAAGAGTACTCTGTCTTTAGCCCAAAGAGATACAGGGAAACCAAAGAGGAAAAGGTGAGTATAGAAAATGACTAAAGCTGTGGGAAAGAGGCAGGGTAGGTTCCAGAGGCCTTCCTGTGTAGCCAGGCCTGGAATCAGAAGGCAAAATAAAGGAGGTGGCAGGTCCCCTGCATGGTGGAGAGGGAAGGCCTTACCCAGAGACACCAGGAGCCCACAGTTTTCCAGCATCACCTCCTGGTACAGGGTCCGCTGAGCTAGGTCCAGCTGCCCCCACTCCTCCTTGGTGAAAGTCACAGCCACATCATCAAAGGTCACAGAAACCTGAAAAGTCAAATAGAAGTAGTAGTATTGGCCTTTCAGCGGCTGAATGTGATCACATATTGTACTCCACTGGAAAAGGTTCAGAGAGATGGAGGCGTGAAACACAGAGCACCTCCTGTGGGCCTAGCTCTGTGCTAGGCTCAAGAAAGCAGGTATTATCCTCAAGCTTTGAAGATAATACCAGAGTAAAGGAGAGAAGTCTCCTATTTAAGAGCCATTAGAGAATGACACAGGACAATGGAAACAACTTGTGGATTGTGGGATACAGATACTAAGGGTTTTAAAACAATAGGGAAATGCCGGGCGCGGTGGCTCAAGCCTGTAATCCCAGCACTTTGGGAGGCCGAGGCGGGCGGATCACGAGGTCAAGAGATCAAGACCATCCTGGTCAACATCGTGAAACGCCGTCTCTACGAAAAATACAAAAAATTAGCTGGGCACGGTGGCGTGTGCCTGTAATCCCAGCTCCTCAGGAGGCTGAGGCAGGAGAATTGGCTGAACCCAGGAGGCGGAGGTTGCCGTGAGCCGAGATCGTGCCATTGCACTCCAGCCTGGGTAACAAGAGTGAAACTCCGTCTCAAAAAAAATAAATAAATAAATAAAAAATAAAAAAATAAAACAATAGGGAAATGAGGAAATGGTAATAATAGCAATTATGGTTACAACAGCAATACCTGAGTCTCACTGGTCCAGCTAGGTGCCTGCCCCATGTTGAAAGCTTCACATCCTGTGTTAAAGTGACTAGAAGCCCCCAGCTCCAAACACGTGAAACTGACACTTGACAGCTGTTACCTCAAAGACATCATTTCATTTCTCTGAGCCTTGATTTCTGGATCAATACAATAATACTTCCCACTAGTAACAGTTGTTAAATTTAAAGAGAAATTATCCAATGCTCAGTGTGCTTTGGGATTTTTATTAATCTTTCCACAGCCCCTGCAATCAACACCATCATTGCCTTCACAGTCAGTGACTTGATGTGAAGGAAGCACTATCAATTCACCCTGTCACACATCTCACTACCACAGCTAGGATCTAAACATGGGGTTACTATGATTCATGGTCTAATAGTGTAACTCCAACGCTTCATCAAAGCAAACTAATGCAATGAAGTTATAAAGCATTTCCACTCATTTCTGCCTTTAAACCCATTTCAGTTAGCCCTGAAAACCTATCTGTGGGCCAGGTATGATGGCTCAGGCCTGTAATTCCAGCACTTTGGGAGGTTGAGATTGGTGGATCACTTGAGTCCAGGGCTCTGATACCAGCATGGCCAATATGATGAAACCGCATCTCTACTAAAAATACAAAAATTCGCCAGGTGTGGTGGTACATGCCTATAATCCCAATTACTTGGGAAGCTGAGACAGGAGAATTGCTTGAACCCGGGAGGCAGAGACTACACTGAAGCAAGATTGCGCCACTGCACTCCAGCCTGAGCGACAGCGAGAGACCCTGTCTCAAAACAAAACAAAACGGAAAAGCTATCTGTGAACACGGGCAAAGAAAGCATAGCATTCCTCACCGACCCCACATGAGAGGCACTGGAGGGGTTTGCATCTGCTTGGAGAACGACAGGCCCCAGACCAGCTTCCCATGCCCTCTGGGCTCTCCCTGGGTCTCCCAACCCACTCTGCCCACCTCAGCCCCGCCCCAGGAAGTTCCGACATAACTTCTCTCTTGACGCCAGCATACTCTGAGCCCACGGAACACGAGTGGCCAAGGATAATGCAGGCTGTAGCCACGACAATAAGAGCCTCTGACTGGCCACAATGTCTGTATTAGCTGCGAACGGGTGGAACATCCAGGAAAAGACCACACACTCTTTCCCTCCTTGCCTCAGCAGCCGCAGAAAACCAGGGCAAGCTCACAGGCCCTCCTGGGCCTCCCGGAACACACAATACACCTGGTCTCTGTCCACGCACCTCGGTCGGTCTGCTGCTGGCCTGCCCTCCGCTTCCCCACTCAGATCCCCAATTTCCTGCTGGAATGAGACCGGGTCCACCAGAGTGGATGGATGCCCGCAGGCCCAGGAGGAAGGGAGTCCCCAGAGGAAGCATCATTCACTCGACAAGCTACGAAGCTCCGTCCAGCAGGCCCAACACCCCTCAGGACCAGGTATGAACCAAGCGACAAGCCAGCTCGACTACTGCGAAGACAAATCCAGGGGCAACCTGGGCTCCCACCCACTACGGGAACCGCCCCCGGGCTGGCAAGGGAGCGGCAACGGCGAAGCCACCATCCCTCACCTGAGCCCGGTCCGTCAGCACCGCCGCCGCCATCACGTCACCCCCCGGGCCGCAGAGCTGGGACAGAGGAGGCTCGGGCGGCTTGGCGGACCCCACCTGTGCCCGGCCCTGGCCAGCTGCCCGCGGCTTCCAGCCGCCTCCTCAGTGGCAACGGCGCTCCAGACCCAGCGCGCAGCCCCTGGAGACCGCAGGGCTGAAGGGCGGGGGAGGAGAGACCGCGGCTTGACGGCGACCCAGGAACAAGCCCGCTGAGGCTCGGTCAGGCTCGTACAAAGGTGCGGCGGGGATTCCTACTCTCCTCCCCTCCTCGGGTCCTGACTAGGGCCCCGGAAAGCGGCCCTGGCCGGGGCCCTCAGCGGCTCCAAACCGCTCCCGCCACAAGCGCAGAGAAAAATGGCGTCCGCAGCGGCGAACAACCCGGAAGTCCCGCCCCCGCCGGTGCGGGCCGCCGGAAACGTCGCCGTCCTAGGCCACCATTGGCCCAGCTCCCGCGGCAAGCTGAGTGCGCGGACTTGCAGGGGCTGTGGGTTTCCTGCTGTGTTCAGCCACGTGAGGAGCGCTTCACGGCGCAAGTCTTCCTCCCAGGGAAAGGCACTCGAGGACCCAAGGAGACGCTCCAGACCCGCCTCTTTGCGGTGGGCACAACTCGAGGGGAAGGATGGAGGCAGGGAACCGAGGGACAGGGGCTTAGCCTGCTTTCTTCTCTCGGGAAGATCGGAGCTCGGGACACAAAGACTTTGGTTCAGGTCAGGGGACAGGCTAAGGCGCAGAACCGGGTCCTCAGCTCGCCTGGCCACCGACCCTCTTTCAGATGCCTCCTCCCCGCATCATCTTCTTGGAAGCCTCAAAAAAAATAGCCTGATGACCGTCTGGAAGCCCTGCCCCGACACGTGTGCGCAAACGGCCCTCTTTGGGGCCTTCTTTGGACCAGCGCAGCCTCCACGCGATGCAGGGGATCCTGTACTTGGCCCAGAGCACACAGAAAGTGGATTTGCCCACTTCTGAGGTGGGGAGCCTGCAAGTGGAGGAGGCTTGTAGACTCAGGATGGTTAGTTTGAAATGTCTGTAAAACCACAAAGTTATCTCTGTCACAGCAATTGAACTTACTGAGTGTTGGAAGAAGGTTTGAGCATTGATACATGAATTTAGGAGTTGTTATCTTACACGGTTATTTCAAGTCATGATACCGAGTGACACCATCAAGGCAATAAATGTAGTTGGAGAAGAGAATAGACAGAGCATGAGCGGATGACCAAGTCTACATCATTAAGTGATTAATGACAATATTGCTGGAAAGGCCAGACTTTACATCTAGGTGCTTGCTGCACAGAAGGCCAATCAGTGAGACAATGAATGTTGCCAGGGATGAAGGCTTTATTCGGTGTTGCAGTTTAGGAGAATGGGAGATTAATACCAAATCCCTTTCCTCAACTGACCAAAACTAGGGGTTTATACATCAAGGAAGAAGTGTAACTATGTGTGAGAAAACAGGAATTAGGAAGGGGTCAGGAAGAGGAACGGGTCAACAGGCAGCAGATGGTTAGTTAGGCAGTCTTGATGGGTAAGGGGTACAGCATCTCATTTTCCAGATGTGGTAATCCAGTAAGTTTTAACTTCTTGATACTATTTGGGAGGCTTGATGTTTGGTTTCCTGAGAAAGGAAATCAGATTAGGCAACTCTAAGTGTCTCTAGTTTTAGGTATGGGAGGCTCAATGTCTATAACATGTTTATTCAAAAGAAACCATAAATATCAGGTTTTTTGGACACTGGAGCTGGTTTCAGTTCCCTCTTTCTGTTTATCAATTCCTCAATCATGGGGAATCTGGACTTGATCTTTCTGGCTGTGGGCAGCTCCATACCATAGATGACCACGTGGCCACTCAGATTAACCCAAAGATTAATGTAACACTATATTTTTCTTTCCTTCCTTCCTTCCTCCTTTCCTTCTCTTTCCCCTTCCTTTCTTTTCTTGGATGGGGTCTTGCTCTTTCGCCCAGGCTGGAGTGCAGTGGTGCAATCTCGGCCCACTGCAACCTCTGCTTTCCGGTTTCCAGTGATTCTCGTGCTTTAGCCTCTTGAGTAGCTGGGATTACAGGTGCCTACCCCCACGCCCAGCTAATTTTTGTATTTTTCGTAGAAACAGGGTTTCACCATGTTGGCCAGGCTGGTCTCAAACTCCTGACCTCATGATCCCCCTGCCTCAGCCTCCCAAAGTGAGCCACCACACCTGGCAGCACTGTAGTTTTCTATGGAAACACAGTTTTTCTCTCTCCAGTCCCTGACTTCCATCAAAGGCAAATCATAGTAGGAACAACCTATCTGCAAAACAAGCTTCTGTCCCACTATACTTACCCAAACAAAGTGCAGCAAGAATCACTGTTTATACAGTTCTTGCTAAATTGGCCTTGCTGGAACCCCTTACAAGGAATCTCTCAGACTTGACCTCCAAAGACCTCTCAAGCTCGGCCAAAGGTTTCTCTCCGCCTGCAGATACCTGCATGAATTAGGTGAAACCCCCTTTTCTTAAGGCTCCAAAACACCTTGAGGTTCCTGGGCCCGTTAGAAAATGGCACCACACCTGCCTAATTTATTTTTTTTTTTTGTATTTTTTGTAGAGATGGAGTTCTGCCATGTTGCTTAGGCTGGTCTGAAACTCCTAAACGCAGGCAATGCACCTGTCTTGTTCTTCTAAAATTCTGGAATTATAGGCATGACCCACTGTGCCAGGCTAAAACTTTATTTATTGACTTCTTCCCCTCTAATTCAACCTGTACACTAGAAGCAACTTTCTTTTTCTAAACCCATTACTCTCATCTGTAAGATCACTTTTTTTGTATCAACCCTCCAAACTCATCCAAACTACAGCTGGGATATATCTAAATGTAATGCTTATACTTTTCTAGTTTCCGTTCTTTCTCACATAGACAAAGACACATGCAGAGAGCAACATTGGCATTAGAGGAGCATGGCATCTATATTAGTCTGTTTTCATGCTTCTATGAAGATGTATTCGAGACTGGGCAATTTATAAAGAAAAGAGTTTTGACTCACAGTTCTGCATGGCTAGGGGAGCCTTAGGAAACTTACAGTCATGACAGAAGGTGAAACGGGCACATCTTACATGGTGGCAGGCGAGAGAGGTGAGAGCCAAGTAAAGGGGGAAGCCCATTATAAAACCATCAGATCTCATGAGAACTCACTCACTATCATGAGAACAATATGGGGGAAACTATCCCCATGATTCAGTTTTCTCCACCTGGCCCTGCCCTTGCCACATGGGGATTATTAAAATTCAAGGTCAGATTTGGTGGGGACACAGAGCCAAACCATATCATCATCCTTTTTCCAGCATCTGGTTTATTGTAGTGTTTTGACTGATAGACCTTCATTTTATTCAACAAGCATTTGGGAATGCAGAGTTTTCCCTGATCATCAAACTTGGCTTTCGTTTGTCCTTTGACTAATTCTGATGTCCTAATAATGGACATTATGCTACCACATAAGTCCTCCTTTACAGCTTCATTAAAAAAATTAAAACTGCCGTAGAAGTACATATATACATGTAAATGAGAGATGTGGAGAACTGGTTAAATCTAAATGAGAACTACAGATTGTAGCAATGTCCATTTCCTGGTTTTAACTTTGTACGGTATAAAGATGTCATCATTTGAATAAGCTGGATGATGAATACACAGAACTCTGCACTATTTTTAATAATTTCTGCATCTCCATAATTATTTTTTAAAATCTAAAAATGCAAATAAAAAGGCACTATTTTAATTTCCAGATGTTTATATGTGTTCCCACTCTTACACAATCACTCAACATCCCATTTCTGACACCACGTCTAAAGGAAAAAGCAAACTGTTCTTTTCTTTCAACTCATTCAAAACAGAACACTTGTGTGACCAAATGAGTGGAGTTTTCATCCATCTCAATTCTCCAGGAGACATCACTAGGTGTCCTATAAATCAAATCTGACACTATCTACTTGAAAGAAGTGTCAGATCCCACAGGTTGAGGACTAAGTCCCAGAAAATTGCCCTTCACTTCAGATGCCAATCACAATCACCAGGTTGTGGCCTGTGCTTTTGACCAACTACATTAGAAATGGGGTTCCCACAACCCCCTGGAACTCATTTCTAGAATGAATCACAGAACTCAGAGAAACACTTTGCTTATCTTTACTGTTTTATAATAAAATACATCACAAAGGATACAAATGAATAGCCAGATAGAAAAGATACACAGGGCAAAGTATGTGAAAAGAGGTGTGGAGCGTCTATGCCTTCGCCAGGCATACTCAATGTGTTCAGCTGTGGGTAACCCATCTAGGCACAGAGGAAGGAGGGCTAAGCAGAACCCTGGCATGGTTAAGGCCTGAAGAATATCTCAGTTTATAGTGTTAGTACTCAGTTATTTCCCTTTATATAATCTTCTCTATATAATCATATAGCAGTTCACAGTATGAGTGCTTAAAGAATATTTCCCTACATATATGTATAATTATATCTTAGTTCGTAATTGGAGGAATGCCTAGAGTAGACATAGTACAGAGCATGAATTAAGAAATAAGCAGCTTATGATCGGAGGAATGCCTAGAGCAGACACAGTGCAGAGCGTGATTTAAGGGAAAAACAGTTATGCCAGGACAAGAATCCATGGCCCAGGCAGCAGCATTCAGTATTATAAAGATACCCACTGTATGGCAGGCTTGGGGCAAGAGCCACTCCTCCTGATAAAGGAGTTGTAGGACCTTGCTCCAGTTTTTATGGAAGGCTACCCTCAAACCAGTAATCACACCTTGGTGACTGTGAGCTTTATCAGCTCTTGTTACTGTGCTGCTCGAAAAGCATCTTCCTGTAGAACTCACTGGAAACTGCCAGTAGGTAGCAAGGTAGCAGTAACCCTGACAGCTCTGTCACTACTGTGTGACTTAAAGCATTCCCCCATAAATCTTCTTCTTCTTTTTTTTTTTTTTTTTTTTTGAGACGGAGTTTCGCTCTTGTTACCCAGGCTGGAGTGCAATGGCGCGATCTCAGCTCACCGCAACCTCCGCCTCCTGGGTTCAGGCAATTCTCCTGCCTCAGCCTCCTGAGTAGCTGGGATTACAGGCACGAGCCACCATGCCCAGCTAATTTTTTGTATTTTTAGTAGAGACGGGGTTTCACCAGGTTGACCAGGATGGTCTCGATCTCTCGAGCTTGTGATCCACCCGCCTCGGCCTCCCAAAGTGCTGGGATTACAGGCTTCAACCACCGCGCCCGGCCCATAAATCTTCTTAGAATTAGTTTGCCCATACATAGAGGTATTGCACACTGCACCCTCTTCACTGTGCATGGCCCACCTTCAAGCCTCGGTGACCTAATGGGGGTGGACCCCTTACTG